TTTCTTTGTCTATTGCCGGTGAGAGCTGAAAATGAAAAGAGGATTTGCAAAAGAAATCGTTACCAGGATGTTTCAGAGCAGTTACCGAATTAAATGAAAACTTTTCTCCCCAAGCCACAAACAAGGCGCTTTAGAGACTAAACCTCCCTTTCTTTTGGTAGATCTGATTATCAACGCCGCATAAACCCCGAGTTTTACCAACGGGCCATATGTTCGTGTATCTGCCCGCGGAGACGGCGCCCAAACGCGTGTATCACCGTGGAAATTACACGGGTGAACCGTAGACTAGTAAGTATCTGAACTGCGCTCTCAGATTGTGCTCTGCTTAGTATCCTATTCTCCCCATAGTTAGGTGTCTCCTTTCAACATCTCTGTCATCTCCATTTGAAGATATTTTCAGCGGTTTATCACTGCCATCTCCAGCCCTGCGCATTTGCAGCAGGTTATCAGAATTGCCAGTCCCCCCTGGCTGATGGGTTGCGCTGATTACCATCACTGCCCTCAGATATTTGGTGCGGATTCCCAGCACTGCAATATCCACTCTTAGGACATCTGGAGCAGATCAAAATCACTGACTTCATTTTTCAGTAGAGTCAGTGTAAAAGCTTCACACAGCCTCTTCGCAAACGTACCCTGTAGTCAATTCCCGCAGAACCAGCCTTCAGTTAAAATTCGGCCAAGCAGCGACCCCTATGTCTGGATTTGCATTTCTTATCGGACCCCTATCTAAACTGATTTGTTAATAATAAAGAGAAAATCTCTTGGCACTGGATGCATCGCCTTAAGAAACTGGAAGGATCACACTGTCTTAGCAAACTCCTTCTCAAGAAAGGCTCCTTAAGAAGTTTATCTGCCCAATGATCTTTGAATTAGATGAGCGTGGCCATTTAGGTCGATTTACTTTAAACAGTATACAATTTATTTTAAGCGATTACCTTAAGTATAATCACATTATGCTCAGCGCTGTTAGGTATTTCTCTCCCGCCTGATTTCTGATGTGCATCCGCTCTCCGACGGGAAGGTGGCTGCTTTTCACTCTCAGCCCAAATCCTTTTTTTTGCTACGTGATTGTTTATCGTCTTTTAAAACGCTGTTCGGCTAATGAGTTGGCACCGCACTCCTTTTTGTTAGGTCTTGCAGAAAGTTAAGGAGGCGTTCAAGCAACTACAACACAGTTCTCAGGGGGAAAATGGGCAAAAAAAAAAGTAAAAGGAAGAGGATTTTTTCCTAATTATGATTAAAACTTTTTTTTAAATCTGTATTTTATTCCACTTATTAACAATTTGAAGCTAACTTATGAGTAGGAGGTGTTGATCACACCGACCTTTTGGACTGTTTAGGTCCAGGGTTTAGGGAAAGATTTTCCTAGTGCTTCGGGCAGCTGCTGCTGATGTTTGTAATTTTCCGTACAGTTTCGTTCTTTTCGCACTTTTGTTATTAAGCTCCTGCTATAGGTCTTGTATGGGAGGAAATAAACCCAGAATCTCCCAGACCTTCACTAAACTGATTTTCAAGCTAAGTAGCTTAGTGTAGCAGCTCTGGTCCCAGCTTACTCGCACAAGGGGGAAAAATTAAAAAGGACTTTGAAAGGTAGCCTACTAAAGTGACTTAATAAACCGTCAGAAGGGAAAAAAAAAAATGGGCAATGTCCTGTGCAGGAGCAGGAATCGCGTGGGGATTGGCATTTTCTGATCAGAATTGTGCATAATTAATGGCGTTCGCAGGACCCTGCTCATCCTTGCTCAAGGAACTTTGCAGATGACGAACAAAGCTTGCATACCAGTCTTCTAACTTTTCCCCCTCCTTGGCGTTTTTTTTTCCTTCCTATTTTCTTTTCCTTCCAATTTAAATTTGTTGTTGTTTTGTTGGGGTCTTTTTCCTTGTCTCCCTTCTTTTTTTTTCTTTCCGAAATCGCAGTTACAGGTAACCTGCACTTTGTATTTATTGGCTCTATTTTTACTCAAGGTGAAGAGTAGCAAAGTTCGCACCAAAAAGATGCAGGGCTGATAGAAAAGCGAAGGAGACTTTTTTTCCTTTTTCTTTCCCTTTTTTTTTTCTTCCCTTAACCGATCCGAGAAGGATGAGAGCGAGTGGGGGAGGGGATGACTCACATTTCTTAAGCCTCCAAGTGGAAACCTTTTCTGGATACACATTCCACACAGATCTAAAGAGCTAAGAAGATTTCGGCAGCGTCGGTGCCTTATCCCACCTTTATTTACCTGAAGCCCTTGTAATGTGACACTTCCATTCGCAAAATAAGGCTGCAAATTTCAAGTCCCACTCAGCTCTGTTACGGCGGTGCATTTTTGTCTGAGGGTCGCTCTCCTGCTTTGAGGGTGAGATTTTGGAGCGGTGCGGGGGAGGTACTGCTCTCCCTGTTAGACATAGGAAGGGGAAAGTTCCCTATTTCCAACTGATGGGGAAGGAAGTTTAATCAACACCGTGAGACGGAGCGGTTCCCTGGAGCACGGGGAGGAAAGGGCTGGCCGGGGTTGGAGACACCCCGCGGGGGCGTTGGCAGGAGGGGAGGCATTTCCCTGCGCTCCCGCGCGGCCAGTTCCCGGCGGGATCCGGGCTGCCGGCCTCAGCCCGCTGCTGCAAGCTGGGAGAGGGGGCGCGAAGCCCCGCGGAGCGGCCCGAACCTTAGGGCTGGCTCTCTCTGCGTTCGGGAAAAGGAGAGAGACACCCGTCGTTCCCCCACTCCTCCTTCTTCTTCCCTTCCCCCTCTCCCCTGCCAAACACTCGCATCCCGAAAAGCCGCGGGCCTTTGCGTCTGCGGCCGCTCCGCGCCGCGCTGTCCCTTAAGGAAGAGCTCGGCCGCCCCTTCAGCACAAAGACGGAGCTCCTGGGCTGCGGGGACCGCGGCGGCGAGGGCTGGGCCGGGGCCGGCCGCTCCGCGCCCCTCCGCGGGGCCTCTCCGCCGGGGCCGGCCGAAGGGACGGCAGCGCCCGGCCCGGCCCCGCGGACTCTGCCCGCAGCCGGCGGAGCGAGAGCGCAGCCCCGGCGCGGGCAGCGCGCTGAACTCGCGGGGCAGAGCGGCCCCCGGCAGTCCCACCGGGGCTGGGAAGGTCGGGGCAAGAAACGCCCAGCCCTCGGCCCGCCGCCCCCGCGCTCCTCGTTTTCCACAGCGGGGGAGCTGGGAGGGCCCCGGCAGCGGTAGGAAAGGGAAAGTTTGCGGTGCCGCCCGGGCAGTGGGATGCTCTCTCGGTCCCAGCGCGGTTCGGGCGAGCCCAGCCACGTCGAGGAACTGGACAACACCGCAGGCAGGGCACAGCGGTGACAGCCCGCCTCCCTTAAGGCGGCCCGGTCCCTCGCAGAGGAGTTCTTTGTCTCCCGCTGCACCTTCCACCCCTCTCCAAGGGGAGAAAGAGAAGGAGAGAGGAAAAAAAATCCCTTCCTCTAATCATTGTTGTTAACGATCATAATGGCAAGAGCTCGTTTTGGTCCTTTCGTGTGTGTGTCCCCTGTGTCCCCCCGCCCCGTCCCTCTCCCTCTGTTTCCCCCCCTATGTGTTTCCTTCGGTCCCCACTGAAACGGGAGGATGGAAGTTTTGACAACCAACAAGACACTCGGTTTCCCCCTAACCCCCACCCCCGCTCAGGGGCGAGGGCTGGGGGTCCTCTGTGCCCCTCGGCATACATGTCGAGGTTGTTGATTTGCGGGATTATTTATTTCCAGTATTCCGAGAACTGTCGCAATGCCTATGATAATTGTCCCTGAGTGTCAATCCGTCGGCAGGGCATGAGGAGGAGAAAGGGCGGCGGGGAGGATCGCATCGCTGCGGGTCTCTTTTCTTTTTTTTTTTTCCCTCCATTTTTCTTTTTCTTTTTCTTTCTTTCTTTTTTTTTTTTTTTTTTTTCCTCTTTCCTTTTACTAAAGATTCTTCTGGGAAGTACTGCTAGGAGCCTTTTGACTTTCAGCAAAGTTGAGCATATGTGTTTGTGTATGAGTGGCGTTTGTGGGTTGCTGTAGAGAGATCGCATTTATTTATTTATTTATCTGCTTTTTTTTTTTTTTTTTTTTTTTTTGGTAGTGGTAAATTGTTACAAGTTGCCTGGCTGCAAAGCCCCCTTTTCCTCTCACGGCCACTCTCGTTTGTTCCTGAGTCCAACGACGACAAGGGGGACTCAATGTTAAAGGTGGAAAAAAAACCCCAGCAACACAGTTGTTTTTGTTAAAAGGGGACACACTAAGGCTGCGAAACAGCAAAACCCCAATGTTGGACAGCTGTAAAATCGTGTAGACAGGTTGTCATACAGCAGTGGGGGCTTTTCTGAAAGGAGCCCATTGCTAAACATTAAATACACTGGGAGCGGAGCAGAGCAGCTGCGCGGACACACGCACACACACACACACACACACACTCTCACACGCACACGCAGCTCCGAGCGCAGCGGCCCGGGCTGGGCTGCGCACCACGTGCTGCGCTGAGGGGGGCGGCGGGGCGGGCGGGGGGCGCGGGGCGGCGCTTCCAGCTCAAGTGGGTGCCAATCAAAACATCAACTTCAAATTGTATCTGAAAGATCAGCCTAGGACCTAAGGGCAGACACATCAGTTGGAGCTCAATTGTTGATCAGATCACATCTAAGGGATTTAGGAGCACAGAAGAGCCGAGATTTGAGGAAAGACACCCCACTGAATCCTGCCACACTCCTCCTCCTCCTCCTCCATACCTAGGGTGCAATATATATCTGACAGAAAGAAATCAGAACGAAAAAAGAAAATTATCGGCTCGATTTCTTTTCTCTCGCCCTGCCTGACTCCAGTAAAGAGCGGGGGGGAGGAAAAAAGAAAGAGAGAGAGAGAGATCCAGAGAAGCCCGGGGTTTGTTCCGCTCCCCTCCCCGGCTCTTCAGCAGGCTCCCTCCTCCCCCTTTCTTTTCTTTTTTTTTTTTTTTTTTTTTGGTATAATTCCTTCCCCCCCTTCCCCCCTCCTCTTTTTTTTTTTTATATCTCTGCCGCTTCTGCTGCTGCCGCCAGTGCTGCTGCCGCCGCCTCTGTGCCCGCGCCCCGGAGATGTCCTTCCCCCAGCTGGGCTACCCGCAGTATCTCAGCGCCAGCCAGGCGGTGTACGGGAGCGACCGGCCCGGGGTGCTGGCCGCCGCCGCCGCAGCCGCCGCCGCCGCCGCTGCCGCTTCGGGCCGGCCCGCGGGCGCCGAGCTGGGCAGCGGCTCGGCCGCTGTCACCTCGGTGCTGGGCATGTACGCCAGCCCCTACAGCGCCCCCAACTACAGCGCCTTCCTGCCCTACACCGCCGACCTCGGCCTCTTCTCCCAAATGGTGAGTGAGCACCGCGCTGCCCCCCGCGCCTGCCCGGGCACGCCGAGCGCGGCCGCGGAGGCCGGGGGAGCCGGGGGAGCCGGGGGCGGGCGGAGGATTCGGAGCCCAGCGCGGGGGGCGGCTGCGGTGGCGGCTCACGCCCGGAGCGGGGTCCGCCGAGGAGAGGAAAGCGTGGCTCTCGACGGGTCTGCGGGGAAGAGAGGGGCTGGGGGTCGCGGGCTCCGTCTGCACGCGAAGCCCCCCACCCTCCTCGTCCTTCCAGCTGGGCAAAACTCCTCCGAGTTTTTCTTGGCGGTGGAACCGCTAAGCAGGCGTTCCTGCCTCCGTATTTTCGGCTTTCCCTAGCAACTCGGCTATTTTTTGTTTTCTTTTCTTTCTTTGTTGTTATTGGTGTTGTTGTTGACGGGTGATATTGTCGGTCCTGCTGTTTCACTGGGCTGTCCAGCGCGCTCCTCTTTCCTCTTGGTACTTTCTTTGCCGCTGAGCAATAAACAGGTTCCGTCCGAAAGGCCAAAGTGTCGGTACCTGGGGTGCCCGTTTATTTCAAGGCATTTTCGTTAAGCCTTGAAAATGTCCCGTTCCGTTCCTTGAACTTTTCATACTCTGATTATGGCGGGTATCATAGATGGGATTTACATGAAGTGAAAGAGGGCATCTACATCCCATTATAGGCATCGAGGCAGGAACGCATATCGGCGTTAATGCTAAGAGAAATTGTCGCCACCCGGACTGTCCTCGGGATTAAATTGACATTTTCTTTAAAACGTAATAGTTAGAAAGTGAAACAATTTTTTTTAAACTAACTGGTTTTATATCCGGTGTCGTTGAAACATTTTCGTTGCTGGTATCACCAAAATTGTCGGCGGCGCTACGCATAGGTTCCACTTAATTTTCTAAATGTTCCTCTTTTCTCTCCCCCGACACAGAAAAAGTGTGAATATTTATAACTGAATGCACGCAATGCATAACTTGTTAGGGTTCTTAATAAATATATGTAGGCAAATAGGAAAATACGCTGTTGAACAAGGGACAGCACCTGAAAACAGATAATTTTTCTACTGCAAACATTTCCTGTAAAGTCACTTTAAACAGCATGCATTTCCTACTCTTTTTTTAACCTTGATTTTGGAAATGCAGTAAAAGTTGAGACAGGAGAAATGAGTGATTCACAAGTGGCTTCTTCAAAAGAATTCCCAACAGAGTTTACACAAAAAATATCATTTCAGCAACAATAACAGAAGACAGGAGAATAAAGAGAGTGCAGAAAGCCTACTCTGTAACACATTACAAAAATTGCATCGGGCTACTCTTTGTGTATAAGCGGCGTCTCTGAAATTAAAATACATGATCCTTCTTAACTGTTTGACAAAGTTTAATTAGTTTCTTCACAAACATTATTGAAGAGGTCGATTTCTAAGGCTGACATAAATTATGACATAGTAGTATGAAGAATGTATTCCTGGACTAGGCAAAAAACAAAAACAAAAACAAAACAAAAAAATAGGCGAGATCGTAATAGAAGAAATAAAGAAAGAAAACTGCTTGAAATGTTAGCTATTTTGGAACAGTTCCCGTTCCTACTCACAAAGTATCCTGGTATTTTATTACAGTGATTAACCATGACGGTGATATTTCGAAATAAATTCTAAATATCTGAACATTTGCAAATTAAGAACTAAAATATTAGGTTAATATCTGGACAATTTGCGGTAATAATGAGGCCTAATGAGGTTGCTAGAAAGATAAAATGTTATTTACCAAAACACCTGATGGGATAATTTGACTTGCTGTGTTTTACTACTGATGATAAAAAGAATATTGATTGCAAATAAATCACCGTCTTTAAACACTTGTAAACAACTTGTGTTTGCTCTGGACGGATCAAAGTAAAACTTATGAGATAAAGTGTCTACGTATCCATATTCTACAATGCATGGATCAGTTTTCATTCCCGAGTTTAAAGCCTGTTCTAACAGTGAGAAGTTAATGTTTTACTCCAGAATTTTGGTGTATGATTTGGGGAGCGGCAGTGGTGCTGTTGGCATGTGTGTGCAAAGTCTTTCACATTATAAGTCTCTTCGTACTGAAGTTGTGCATTCATCCCCCCCAGCCTCATCTCATTAGGAGCAAAAATAAAGAATGCTCTGCATGCATTTCTAACATCCTCCTGGATACTTTGCAGATAAATGCGGCGCTGTGCGCGGGCATTAGTTGGTAACTGCGGTGTAGTACCTGTTCTATGTGCCTGATAATTTCAAGGGCACAGTAAATTTTCTTGCTGAGGTGAAGGTGAAGTTGCTGTATTTCCATCGTTTGGTTTGGTTTGGTTTAGTTTGGTTTGGTTTGGGGAGAAAATACTCATAATGTCTGTCAGAGCCCCGCTTAGCACCTCTCTTTCCTTTCCCTGCAAGAAGCGGGAATCATTTGGGAACACCTCTCTGTATGACCTAAATGTGAAGAGCCTGGAACGGGCAGGGCCGAATTCGGCTGTGAAGACCCTTTGCAACGCTGAAAGGCGTATTCCGGCTCCCGGAGTAGCCTATTCAGGTCTGTTAGAGACGCTAACGAGATAATTGATGTGCTTTTTCCTCTCCGCTTGTCTGAATGTGTTGCAGGGCTCCCAGTACGAGCTGAAAGATAATCCGGGTGTCCATCCTGCTACCTTTGCTGCCCACACTGCCCCCGCCTATTATCCCTATGGACAATTCCAGTACGGGGACCCGGGGCGGCCCAAAAATGCCACCCGGGAGAGCACCAGCACCCTCAAGGCCTGGCTCAACGAGCACCGCAAGAACCCCTACCCCACCAAGGGCGAGAAGATCATGCTGGCCATCATCACCAAGATGACCCTCACCCAGGTCTCCACCTGGTTTGCCAACGCCCGCCGGCGGCTCAAGAAGGAGAACAAGGTGACCTGGGGCTCCAGGAGTAAGGACCAAGAAGATGCAAACCTCTTCGGAAGTGACAATGAGGGGGACCCCGAGAAGAATGAAGATGATGAAGAAATTGACCTGGAGAGCATAGATATAGATAAAATTGATGAGAATGATGGGGAGCAGAGCAATGAGGAAGAGGAGGAGAAGCCTGAGCTCCTGAGACAAAACAGTGAAGAGGAGCACTTGGAAAAGGAGAAGGATTTGGCACTGTCAGGGTCTGAAGGGCTGAAACCCAAAGACGCGCTGGCCATGGTGAAGGAGGCCTCTGACAATAGCACGAGAATCATCAGTCCTGGGGGACCGAACAATTTACAGATGCCGTCTCACAGCAAACCCAAGATATGGTCTTTGGCAGAGACGGCAACCAGTCCTGACGGTGCCCTGAAATCTTCTCCTCCTCCGCCCCCTCCTCCCCAGGTTAACCACACTTCTCCTCAGATTCAGCACCCTGCTTTTCTCCCTAGCCATGGACTCTACACATGCCAGATTGGCAAATTTCACAACTGGACAAATGGGGCTTTCCTCACTCAGAGTTCCCTTCTAAATGTGAGGTCCTTTTTGGGAGTAAATCACCATCATGCTGCTCATCACAATCACCACCTCCAGGCCCAGCAACAATCTTCTGTTTTAACAGCAACCCTGGGCGCGCTAAGCAGCGACAAACCTTCAGAGAGGACCAGTCCCAAACACATAGGTAATTAATGTATCAGGCTTTCACCTCTCCTCCACCCCCAACACGTGCACGTGAACTTCTCCTTGAGGAATGGTGTCACACTGGTGTAACTGATTGCTTTTAATGGAGCTACAGTTTACTCTAGCCTTGATTTCCGGCCCCCCACCCAGCGTGTTTGTCACATACATTAAGCACATTTCACGTGGCCTATTACATTCTCACCCTATATGCCCATCAAGTAAGATGAAAATTCAGGAAGAGCGCAGTGAAATGTATAGGTTTGAGCTTTCCTTCCCTGTTTCATGATCCTCATCTCCCAATAACTTCAATAACAGTAAGAAATGTGTCAAGAAAAGCTTGCAGACTACTTAAATACTGAAAGTAGGGTATAGCGCTGTACACATACACGTGTATGTGTTCAGGTCTGAACAGGAGGGTGAGAGGGGAGTGTGTTCTCTGCAGGGTCCAGGTTCTTACTGCTGTTATTCTAAAATGGTTCTCCTGTTTTTGTTTGGCTTTTTTTTTCTTTTTTTTTTTTTTTGTTTTGTTTTGTTTTGTTTCTTTTTTTTTTTTTTGTCTCCTTCTAGAAAGAGAAAATGTACCAAGAACTGACTCCCCACCCCAGCCGCTAAAATCGCCCTTCCAGGCTGTCCGTGACAAGTGAGTTTGTTTGTTTTCACTGTAGGAATGTTACTTATGTGAAACAGAGTGTTTGAATAATAAAGACTAATTATAGCACCTAATCATCACCATAATAATACATACCGACAATGGGAACAGCACAGGAGTTGCTCTAATCTTTTCAAACTTAGACTAAATTGCAATTGTACATAGCCAGACTGTAACTTTTCTAAAACCTAACAGATCTCAAAGATCTTGTGTTAATTACACAAGAGACAATGATTTTTGTGCGATTATCAATTACTCACATGCAATAGCAGTAGATGCACAACTGAAAAAAAAAAAAGATACTTTTTTTCTGAAAGATTGTTACATTTTTTTTCCCTTCTCCCTTCCTCCCCCCCTGCAGCTCTTTGGCTCAGCAAGAGGGAACACCGAGAATTTTAACAGCTCTCCCTTCTGCTTGATTAAATGATTTGGTGAAAAAATATTACAGAGACTGGTAATAAGGACAGAGAGAGTGAAAAAAAAGGAAACGGTATAAACGACTCCCATCAATCTCTTTTTGCAATAAGGTGGTGCAAATCCATAAAAGCATTACACAAATCTGTAGATGGATCCCCTTCCTCATTGTACCATTTCAGATCGTGTTATTCTAACCATTCTTGGATTATTTGTTTGGTAAATGTTTCCCATGTGTTTGTGGTTTTCTTTTTTCTGTATATAGAGTGATTTCAGATTGTAAATAACACGTCAGCAAAACTTGTCTAAATCATATATTTTTGTCTAATAAACTAAATGAAATTATGAGCTCTCTTCAGGTATGTATTCTGTTGCTATAGATCTTATACATATATTACAAATCTATTCAAACATTTATAATTAGTTTTCTAAAAAAGTCAAGTCTCCTCCTTTGGGTAACTGAAACTTCAAGTAGCAAATCCAAGCTATTTTGCCAAAAACAAGCTGCGAGCTTCCTTTTTTATACACGCAAATTTACAAAGTTGAGTGAAGATGGCCTTAGTAATATTAAAGTTATTTTTTCATTTGTGATGATTCAGATGTGTTCTATAGTATCCATTTTCCAGACATGAATGGACCTGACTTCCACTTACACTACAAAATAGTTTCTTAAAACTGAAATAGAAAGTTTTTTCACAGGTCCCTAGTGTATAACTGCTGTCCAAACTGGTTGCTAAGTTGGATCAAGAGCTTTAGTGCTTTGGTATATATTCTCACCCAAAAGGAAAAAAAAAATCATAGTTTAGGAAAAAGAATTATTTGTAGCAATATGCGCTTTGAATAAACACAGAGGAAATATAACGGTGAAAGATAATTTCCTGTGAGATTAAATGCAATCTTTGTAGAAAAAAAAAAGAAAAAAAAAAGGCAGCTCTTGCCCATCTTAGAAATGTTAGAAGAAAGTTTTGCAATTCCGATCTTCTGGTTGAAAATAGACTAAGAGACAGGATCTATCGTTTTATAAAGGCATTAATCTTACAAAGACAGTCCGTTGAAATGTGTAATATTTTGAGTGTTTATTTCTCTTTTTTTTCCTCCTAAATGAGAACACTAAATGAGCATTGAGGTGCTAATAAGATACCAGATGGTTGTTGATGGTGGAAAATGGAAAGAAGCAGCTGGGAAAGTCATTAAGAAATAATGCGGTGACGCCCTATCCAAACTAAACCAACCTCAAACCAGGACTTGTCGGAAACAAGATGAGATTTTCAAATAAAATATTAATAAAATTCTCGTCAGAGATCAGAATATTGATCTTGATTTAGCTGCAAGATCACATCAATCAAAGAGCAGACTCTATGGCTTAGAGATCTGTTGGAAAAGCGGTGGAGGCGATGGGGGGGCTCCTACATTTTGTGTTTTTCTGATGGACCAGAGAAACAGGTCAGGCAAATCAGATTTTGTGTGGAATAGCTGAAGGAGAGCCTCTGGAAAGAGACTATTTGGACATCCTGCAGTTCCTAGCTTACCATAAGTTAGTTTGTATTTTGGCTCTTAGTTGTTTCGGTGTATTTTTTTTTCCTTTTCTCAAATGACAGTCTCGCGTTAGTAATTGTTCCAACAAAAGAGAACATTGCACTTTTTGCCAAAGTAGAGTAATTTAGCCTTCGGAGAGAGGGAAGACGTATTTAAAAATAAAAAGAGAAAGAAAAAAGTCTTAAAGCCTGTAGAGCTTAACGGTGCATCAGGTCAGTGCTGGTGTAAACCTGATGCAATTGCTGTCTCTTTCATATCCATCCAGATGAAATCGCCTCAGTCCCGCACCGGCTGCCCCGGTTCCCAAATTCCTCTCGGGAAATGCGGCCGTCCTCGAGCAACCCGGCCGTCCGGGGTGCCGCTGCTGCTGCTGTCAGGGACCGGCTCCGCTCCTCCAAGGCGGAGACGGCACCTTCCAGGCGCGCCGGGACGCTCTGCGAGGCGGAGCGAGCGCGGCGCTGCCGAACCGTCCTAGGGGGAGCGGAGCGGAGATTCCTGTGCGGCACCGGAGCCCCGGCAGGGACGGGAGCTGCGCGGAGCGGAGCAGCGAGGGCGCCTCTCGCCCGTCCGCCTCACGGCGGGCACCCGCTCCCGAGCGCCGGGGGCCGAGCGGGCCCGAGCCGTCCCGAGCGGGCCCGAGCGGGCCCGAGCAGTTCCGAGCGGAGCCGCGGGTAGCGCTTTGGGCAGGCTCGCAGCGCCCTCTGTGGGCGGCGGGCGGCGCCGTCCCCGCGCCCGGCCCGCGGCTCGGCTGGGCTGGGGCGGAGAGCCGGAGGCTGCCCGTCCTTAACTCGGCCAGAAAGCCAGCTGCATCCTCCGGAGTGCGCTTACACTTCTGATTATCCTCCCGGGAGTGATAATTCCCAGTAGTTATCTGGTTGGCAGTTTTCCTCCTTTGGAAGCCTCAGCATCTCTAGAGCTGACTCTGTTGCAGAACTAGATTTTTTTTTTTTTCCCCTCATCTGCTTATTTGAATTTCCCACCTCCTCCCCCCCACCAGTAACGCTAACAATTTTGACGCTTCCCTCCCCAACCAGCTGAGGGTGTCATCGGGAGCGGGGGACCATGAATGAAGCCCCGCGGGGCCAGCACCGCTCCGTCTTTCCCCTGCGCGCCCGGAGCGTTTGCCGGGGATGGGATGAAGCACCGGGCTCCTGTCTCCAGGGGGGCGGCCTGGGAGCCGCATGCCGACTGCTGGAGGAGCGCGCCCAGGGCTGCGGGCTGCCTGCTCGGACGGAGCGTGCTTGCGCCAAAGTTTTTGGACAGGAGAGCAAGTGGCTTCCCCTTAAAAAAGGGAAAACCGAGAAGTCCTGAGGCCAGCTGAGAAACGCCGTGCTGTTTAAGTCAGAAAAGCTCCGGCGTGGCTGCGTGCTTCGGTGCCCAGCACTCTCCGAGGGCCGCTGCCTCAGCCTATTCGGCACCTAGGGGAGTAGGGTGACCGCCTTTCCCTGCCCGGAAAGCCACAGTGAGGTGGCCATTTCTCCTGCAGGAAGTTTCAGAGAGAGAGGAGAGGTGCACGGGTGTCATTGCTACGGCACGGAGCCCTCGGAGGCTGCCCGGGAGCGGTGCGGGGCCCGGGCCGGGCGGGACGCCCCCACACCGCCCCCGGCCGCTCCCCGCCGCCGGTGTTAGAAAGGAGCGGGAGCTTCGCACTCCCGAGGTTTCGCTTGTCACGTGAACCGTGCTAGGAATGATCGTTTACGTCACCCTGGCAGGAAAATAATTTGTAGTTTTTTTCTGTCATATTTTCATTGACATCCACCCCAGCAGATGTATACCAGAAAATACTAGAGTGCAGGGAGAATAATAAAGAAGCTTAAGCTAAACGATTTGCCGTAATTAGGAATGCTTGGAGCTGATAAGAGTAAATTGGAAAGTATTAGCCTCCTACCTGTTTTTTTTTTAATGATGATGCTACCCTAACCTGATAAATAAAGTCAATAAGAAAATTTGCATTGAATCGAATGGGAACTACAAGGAGTAATATACTTCTTTTAGCACGACGACCGAGTGCCAAGATACATTTTCGTGCTACTTAAAAGGCTGCCAGAAAACACCTTTTTTATACGTTTGCATAAATCCTCCATTCTCCCCCAGTAAAAAATGTCTTGTTTTGTTATTATTTACTTATCAGTAACAGAAGAATGGCAGAAATCTGTGAAGAAAGAATACTGCGAATTTGATATAATCTCGAGTTCAGCAAACTCAGAAATTCGCTGTTGCCAGAACAGATTAAAAGCAAACGGCAGCTTTACGGGGATTTGGCATTGTCACAGAGACGTAGTTATGAAACACGCTGATTGGTATGCATGCCTCATTTTTTATTCTTTTTTTTTTTGTTGTTGTTGTTTATTTTATTCTGAAAAAAGGTCTATTTTTAATAAGGTAAAAAAAAAAAAAAGCCGAGCGAAAGGGAAGAAGAAAATTAGTAGAGTCTGTGTACTCAAACTGGCTCGTTCCTGTGATTGTTATCGTTCCCGGCTCCTGTCATCCCTTCTTGCTGCGTTGGTTGAGTTTTTGATGCACTCTCTGAAACCGGAGCGGCCCCGAAGCCGCCGCCTGCAGCAGCGACCGGCGGAGCTGGGGCGGGGGCACGGTGCGGGCTGAGGCTGCCCCCGCCCCCGGCAGCCCTGGTGATCGCGGGGCTCGTTGGATCTCCGGCTAACTTTCATGGTATGCCCATGTTTTCCCCAGCCCGTTTTATTTTTTTTTTTTCTTTTTCTTTTTTCTAACTTTTTTTTTTTTTTCATGGGCGCCGATCAATTATTCACAAGCACATTTATCTCCCCTGCAATATGGAGAATTCATATTCATATCTCTGTTTTAGTGGCCTGACACAGATTAATGTAATATACGCCGCGGCTCGGAGCGCCAGCCCCGCTCTATGAATCATGCACTATAAAGTTTCAATCGTCCTTGTAGATGAGACTATTACAAAGAGCGCGGAGCGGCGGGGGCAGGGAGGCGGGGGCCGGCAGCAGCGGTGGCTCTGCGCCTCGGCCGGCCATCGGCCCCCTGTTAAACAGGCTCGTATTGAAACCACCCGGCGGCTGGCGGGGGACAATGCGGGCCCGGCATTCGTTCTGCCCGGCAGGACTCGCTGACGCGGGTTCCCCGCCCGCGCCCACCGCTGGCCGGCCCTGGGGAAGGGGCTGCGGACCCTGCCTCGGCCCCTTCCCCATCAGCCCATCAGGCAGGGCCACCTGGCCCCAGAGGAAAAGCGGGGTGAGGTGCCCGCCCCAAGGGATGGGCACCCCGGGGAGGGAATGCGGTTCAGGCTGCCCCGGGGTGCGCCCTGAGGCGGAGCAACCGCGCTGTGTCTGGGGAGGGAGGGAGATAAAGGGAGTCTCCATCACCTGGAGATGCTATGGCGGTATGTTTATTTTTTTTTTTTTGCTTGTTTGTTTGGTTTGTTTTTATATTTTTTAAGTTCCCCGATGTCCTTAAAAGGAGAGATGTGAAGAATAGCAGGGGCTGACAGAGGCACACAAGCAGCACAGGGAAAGGGCCAGTGAGTTGTAAGTGCCCTGTGAAAGAGAGCATTGAACATGGGCTTCAGCATACGCCCTCCATCCCCAGAATTGCTGCCTCAATCCCGGGGTGAGGCTCCCCTGCCATCTTGGTGACCTCTGTGCATCCAGGTGGATGGAGGGAAGCCACCCGCTGGTCCCAAAACCCAACTGCCAGCCATGGATCAGGAAACCACGTCTGGAAAAGCTGTGGCAGGTCCCCTCTGGCCTGTGGGAAGCGGGTGGCAGCCCTGTGGAGCTGTGCCATGCAGGACCTCAGGTCCCCCTCTGCCAGGAAGGGCC